AATTACAGACATGAGGACGGCTTCCTGCCCCTCTCTGGCACCCCCACTGCCCCGTGCCCCTTGACTGAGGCCCTTCTGGTGTATCCAGGTCTTGTTCCCCCAGAAGGGGCTTTGCTGACGCTCCTGCCAAGAGGGCCTGGAGGAGCACTTGGCAGAGATGGTGCTTGTAGGTGGAAAGGGCTTTCCGTCTTCAAGTTTCGAGACATTTCCTCGTGGGGGCACAACCAAGAAAGATAGTGAGGGCCTGAGGAGACAGTGTGGGGCTCTGCACTCCGCCCAGGGGCTGTGTGGGGGTTCCAACAACAGGTGACTTTGGGTACAGCCGCCCAAGCTCCAGCTGTCCGTGTTGCTCCAGTGGGCGGGCGCGTGGAGGGAGGCAGTGCCGGGTGTGGCAGAGTAGGCTCGACCCGAGAGGGGCTTGGCCAGGGCAGGGCCAGGGAGGGCCTCGCCTGGGTCGCCCCTGCCCACCACCCCTGTTTCCCCCCAGAGCTGTACGTGGCCCAGTGCACCCAGCGGCCCGTGGACATCGTCTTCCTGCTGGACGGCTCCGAGCGGCTAGGTGAGCAGAACTTCCACAAGGCCCGGCACTTCGTGGAGGAGGTGTCCCGGCGGCTGACCCTGGCACGCAGGGACGATGACCCACTCAACGCACGCGTGGCGATGCTGCAGTTCGGGGGCCCTCGCGAGCAGCAGGTGGCCTTCCCACTGACCTCCAACCTGACGGTCATCCACGAGGCACTGGAGAGCGCGCGCTACCTCAACTCCTTCTCACACGTGAGCTCGGGCATCGTGCACGCCATCAACCAGGTGGTGCTCGGCGCGCGGGCCGGGGCGCGCCGCCACGCCGAGCTGTCCTTCGTGTTCCTCACGGACGGCGTCACGGGCAACGACAGCCTGGACGAGGCCGTGCACTCCATGCGCAAGCAGAACGTGGTGCCCACCGTGGTGGCCGTGGGCGACGACGTGGACATGGACGTGCTCTCCAAGATCAGCCTGGGCGACACGGCTGCCGTCTTCCGTGAGAAGAACTATGACAGCCTGGCCCAGCCCGGCTTCTTCGACAGGTTCATCCGCTGGATCTGCTAGCGCCCCACCCACCCTGGCGCGCACCCCCAGCCCTGCGGGCTCTGTCCTCCTGTCCGTGGTGCTACTCAGATCCCACCAAGAGAGGTGCAGAGCGCTGCCCTGCCGACTCGACCTCTCCAGTGTGGGTGTAAAGTCAGGAGTGGAGTTCCCCTCCCCACCCAGCTCTCCCCAGGGTCCTGCAGCCCTGCCGCCCTCCACCCCTTCTCTCTATCCCGTGACACCCTACTCTCCACACCCTTCCTGGTCCCCAGAGGCTTCCCGGGACGCGCTTCAGACCCTCATCAACAGGCCCATTTCCCCCTCAGCCCAGCGTCATCCCTGGACTCTCATCCACCTTCCAGGGCCCCCAAAGGCTCTCTGCCAGCCCCCCTGGCCCAGCTCCCAGGTCTCCGCCTCACCTCTGAGGGTCATGCCCCCATCAGACAGAGCTGTGACAGCAGGCCCTCCATGTCTCTGTATGTACACACCTCAGTCCAATAAAGGCTTTGAACCACCTCCTGCTCCCCAGCCTCCATGTGTCTGTGCCCACTGGGACCCCCCCAGAGGCCAACTGGACTCTCTGACTGTTCACATGCCCACCAGCATTTATCATCCCAACCCCATTCCCACCCACCCACACACACTTGCTCTGTCCTCCTCTCATAAGAACAGGTGCTGCCTCCAGCACTGACTGTCCACACCATCCCCAAGTGCATAGACTGGATGGTCTTGTCAACCTTCAAATTATCATTTTACCAGCAAAAGTGGGTCTATTTGGGAAGAGCAGTTCAGGACATGCAAACTTTGGCAAACCCATAGGCAAGTCTGGAGAACAAAGGAGGGGAGCATTACTTTATAGAGAAAAAGGAGGAATTGGGAGGGGTAATTAGGAGTGGAAGTCCATTGGAGGAGAGTGAGCATTCAGGTGGCTTCTCATTGGTCAGGCTGTTGCTGGGCGAGGAGAAAATCTTCCTCTTTCCTGGATAGTAAAATGGTCTTTTTGTTGGGGAGTACACGGTAGCTTTCTTCCTGCTGGAGTCTGCAGATGGCAGAGAGAGCTCCACCTTCAGGGCTTCCTCACATCAATTTTAATGGTTTCCTTTGTTCACTTTCACAGCCTCAACTACACCTGTCTCGTCAGCTTTAGGCTGAAAACAATGTTACTTGGTCAATGAAGTCTCCCTCTATCTTCAAACCAGGGCCAAAGTGCTTTAAAATGTCAGTTGGTTTGCAGGAGGATATTTTGTGTATAGCTAGATAGATAGCTTTTTTCCTGGCAACCTCGGTGACTTCTTGTTCGACTCCCAGGTCTTTTAAGCTCACCCTTTGGGAAGTGCCCTATTAAACCACTGGCTCCCACAGGCCGATGCTCTGCTCTCACCATTCAGTTTCCTGGGGCTGCCCTAAACCAGTGCCACGGGCTGTGGCTTAAACCACGGAGACCGACTGTTTCAGCCTGGAGGCCCCAGCGAAGGCTCTGGGAAGGATTTGCTCCAGGCTTTCTCCAGCTCCTGCTAGTTCCAGGATTTCTCAGTGTCACTCCATCTTCACGTGCTGTTCTCTCCGTGCATGTCTGTGCACATAATTCCCCTTTTCATAAGGACATTTTGGGTTAGGGCCCATCCCACTCCAGTACAACCTCATTTCAACCTAATTACATCTGCAAAAACTCTTTGCAAATACGGTCAAATTCTAAGGTACTGGGGGCTAGAAATTCAACATGGGACCTGGGGCAGGGGGAGACACACAATTCAGCCCAGAACATGCTAACACCTTGCTCGTCCCCGTGTGGGGATGACGTTCCTTTTGCGGTACTTCCATCTCTCTCATCACCTGCCTACACAGCCTGCAGCTGGAGCAGGACTTTAAACCAAGCATTTTCTCTTCCTTTGCCCCCTTTTTTCCTCCCACCAAAGAACCGTACAAACCGCCAGCGAAAGACAGAGAGACCTGCAGCCACCCAGAGCCTCCCCGCAGCACAAATGCCTGGGGATTTCTGGGTCGGAAGGGTGGCGGGCGGCACAGGCCCCTCCCTCCGTGTGTCTGCAGTTCTGCCCACCAGACCCTGCCCAGGGTCCCCTCCGTAGGGAAAAGACGTCCTCTTTCTGCCACTGGCCCCTGCACGTTCAGCCTTTGGCCCTCGGGAGGCAAGAACCTCTGTCCTTCCGGAAGGGACGTACAACACCCATGAGTGGGTGGCTGGGCCCTTGGAGGGCGCCGGCCAGCTCTGAGCCCCACAGCGTGCAGGCCATGCTGGTGTCCACTGAGTTCTCCCCTGGGAGCCCCAACCTCCCAGAGGGCCAGGGCGCCAAGCCCCTCTCGGGGCTGCACTCTGAGCCCCATGTCTCCATCCCTTAGCCCCTCAGGGACCCTCAGACACAGCTCCTGCCATGTGTGATGTTTGAGTTAGGATTCTGTGATGGTTTCACACAGGAGCCTTCACTTCATACACATGGGACACCCTTGGCCTCTCCACATGTCCTGGGTTTTGACTGGGTAATACAGCCTCCCCCTGCAGCCAGCTGGCCCTCACTCGCTCACTGCTGGAGGGGCATCTTCTCCAGCACCCCCAGCCCCAGGGCCGATGCCACAGCGCCCACTGCACAACTGTCCTCCTCCACCTGGAGCCCCTTCAGGACCCTGGCCCCTCGTTCTGACCCCATTGTCAGCTCAGCACAGGGGACATCTAGACCTGGGCCCCTACGTGGGGCTGGGTCTTGTCTTGTTGCCCCTAGTCCCAGGGGAGTCTCTATTACACGCCCCCCCCTACCCCCCTGCCTGGGTCTGGCTGCCCAGGCCCTGCAGGGGACACAGCAGAATGCAGACAGGCCGTGGGCTTGGGGGTGGGGAAGCTGCCCTCCTGGGACCCCGATCTCCTGGCCGCATCCCCCCAGCCTCCATGTGAGAGAAGTCAGTACCTGGCACCTTGCCTTCCGGGGACCCTGGGCTCAAAGCTTCTCCCCCTCATGGCCAGGACACAGGAAACTTGGCGCATCACAGCCACCTCCCCGGGGAACTCTGACACCTGCTTCTCCTCACCCTCGCCGCCCTGAGTGTCACCCAGCCACCCCGCCCTGCAGTGCCTGCCCGCCACGCCCCACACCAGGAGTGATGCGATTGGAGGGAACCTGCTACTCCATGGGGACGGTGCCCCAGGCACAATCCCAAGGCCGCTTGCCCTGCACCAAGCCTCAGGGGCTCTGAGTGACCAGTGACTGGGCTCAGGCCTCGTCACAGCTCCCCCTGGAGCTGGCATGTCCCTCGTGCTCCCCATTTCCTCCCATCTCCCCAGCTCACTCGTCACCAGTCCCCGCCCCTGCCCACTCAGTTCAGCCCTTTCCCCAAAACCCCAAACACACTACACAGGCAAGGGTGTGCTGTGACTTTACTAGAGGCCACAGGTGACAGTGGGTGGTACAGCCAACCTCAGGCTCCACCCCCCCGCCCACCCTCTGGGCCTCATGAAGACTGTCCCAGAAGCCGTCCTGTCTTGTTAGGCAAGCTGGGACCCTATTGGAAAGGAGCGGGGGCCGCTGGGGTGCTGAGTCCAGTGAGGGCCCCTCTCGGCCATCACTCCTGGCCGCTCCTCCAGGCGGTCCAGCACCAGCGCGGCCTGAGCCTTGGTTTCCTGCAGGAGGCTGGGAGATGCGCTGGGCGGATCTGACAGACAAGGGCCAGGTCAGCACCTTTGCAACTTTAGCCCATCCCTGCTGGCCAGGCCCTCCCTGCCCCCTCCCTGGGCCCCCTCTGGCCCAAGCTCCCTGGCTCTCCACTCAGATGACTGGGCCATCCTGGGCTTCC